GGCGACAATGGCCAGACCTCCATAGGGCAGGACACCTCCGAGGTTCAGAGTTGCAAGAATGTCTCAGCCGACAGTGGCCTTGACCACCTGCCCAATGCTTCGCGATACCCGAGCCTGAGGTGATTGCAGAAGTTTGCTCTCACTGCCCTGCGGTCGTCTTCCAGCTCTTCTGAAGGGCAGCGCATTTGTCCTTCCCCCCTGCCTGATCAGCGTGACTCCTGTGAACGATTCTGGTGCGGAGTCCGACAGGGGCCCGAGCCTCTCCCGCCGCGTGCGATCGCCTGTCGTGGTAGTGCAGGCCCTGCGCGGCTCTCAGACGAAAGTGGCCGAGCCACCTTGGGGCAAGGCATCTCGGAACCTAGAGTTGCAAACATGTCACAGGCGAAAGTGGCCAGGCCACCGTGGGGTAGGGCACCCTCGAGGTTAGAGTTGTGAGGATGTCTCACGCGGAAGTGACCTGAACACCTGAGTTCGGGGCAGATCCTGAGTCAGAGCCGCGAGGATGTCTTAAGCGAAAGTGACCAGATAACTATGGGGCAGGGCATCTCCGAGGTCAGCGTTGCGAGGATGTCTCACGCGAACGTGGTCTGAACACCTGATCTCAGAGCATCCCGCAACCTAGAGTTGCGAGGATGCCGCAGGCGAAAGTGGCCTGACCACCAAGGGGCAGGGCATCTCGGAATCCAGGGTTGCGAGAATGTCTCAGGCGAAAGTGGCTGGACCTTCTTATTCCAGGGTATCTCGGAACCCAGAGTTGCGAGGATGTGTCACACGAAGGTGGCAGGACCCTCATGGGGCAGGGCGCCCCCGAGGTCAGAGTTGCGAGGGTATCTTAGGCGGAAGCGGTCTGACCACCTCAGCTCAGGGCGTCTCGGAATCCAGAGTTGCGAGGATGCCTCAGGCGAAGGTGGCCAGATCACCTCAAGTCAAAGCATGTTTGATCCAAGAGTGCCGAGGATGTGTGTCACGCGAAACGCGCAGGAACTTTCCGAGAGACGCATCTTGGTACCGGAGTAGCGAGGATGTCCCAGGCGAGACTGCCCAGATCATCACAAGTCGTGGCATCTCGGAACCCAGATTTCTGAGGATGTCTCAAGCGAAACAGGCCTCCGCCTCCTCCTCCTCCTCTTCTGCGTCCTGCTCCTCGCCACACTCGAAGCGAGGGCGCTCACGCGCGACCTTACGCGGGCAGCTTACGCGCCAGTGTCAGTGCAGACGACCCCGCTTCCTTGCGTCGCCCAAGGAGGGTCCAGACCCAGACATGCGACGTCCTGATTTTGTTCAGGACGGCGTCCCTGGAAGTCCCGACCCTTCCCCCGGGACCGGTTGTTCGTCCTGAGTCGTTTTTTGACGGTCCCGAGGCCCAGCGAGGGCCCCCAGGCCGAAAATGGCGAAAAACCTCCCGTCGTGATTTTTTCATTGCTCGAGGGGTCTGGATCCAGGGACTTCTGGGGACCTCCGGGAATCTTCTGGAGCATCTGGGGGCCTCCAGCCAGGAACTCCACTGGGGCATCGGGGGACCTCTGGCGACCCCAGGGAGGAGCGGCCGCGCGGAACCAGAGCGCGAAGCGCGGCTGCCCCCCCTCTCAAAGGAGCCCAGGGACACACAAAGAAATAGACACAAATGCAAGGATGTCCAATATTTTCGATTATTCGCTGGGTTTGCGTATTCCCCCCCACTTCCCATGTCTTCCCAAATTTTCCAGGGAATCGACGAGTCATTATGTCTGTGGATTTTCCCCTCCTGACCTCTACCCCCCTTGCGCCGCGAAGAAAACAGGACGGACAGCTTTCGCCCGTCTTTACCAGGCCCCAGAGCACCAAGCATGGATCGGGAGTCGAGTCGAGACTCCTGTGGCCCGCGGGTTGAACAGACCAACCCATCGGAAGTCTGGGAGAAGGGGAGAGGACTCCGATCGTCGAAACAGGTTCGGGAGGACGGGCCAGCCTGAGTGAGCACGACGTCGAGGTCACTCTCGCTGAGGCGGGCGAGCACCTGCTGGAACTCGTTCTCGGCGATGGCGCGCAGGTTGTCCTTGGTCAGAGACCTGAATACGACCACCTCGTCCAGCCGGTTGATGAACTCTGGCCGGAAGAAAGACTTCATGTCCTCCATCACGATCTCCTTCATGGCCGCGTAGCTCTCCTCTAGACGGAGGGAATCGGCATGCTGAAACACTGTCGGAGGTCCGCGCGGATGTCTTGGATCGGCGCCTGCATGCGCCGCCGGGGGGGCCCAGCGCAGATCCAGGAAATCCGCGCGGAGCTCCAGAAGTTTATGCGTATGGCCGGGACCTGTTGCTTCGCGTGCCGCCGCGGCGGCCCAGGCGTCACGCTGTGCCATGCAAGCGGATGGCGTGTCGCTCCGCTCTGCGGTGTGAGAGGCTCGGAAAGGTTCGAGATGTGAAAGACTGGGGACTGGGAAGTCGATAGCGTGCTGCGCCGAAGCGTGGTGGACCAGAACCGGTGAAGCGGCACTCGATCCAAACGTTCCCGACCGTATGCCTATGCACTGCTTTTCTTCTTCGATCCTCCTCCTCGTCGTCCATCACTCCCCCGAGGCCGAAGCCCCCCCTGGCGCCCTTCTGCACGGCCCGGCTGCCCAGGTTGGATGTCATGACGACCAGCGTGTTGGCGAAGGACACGGTGCGTCCCTTCGAGTCGGTCAGCCGCCCGTCGTCCAGCAGCTGCAGCATGATGTTGAAGACGTCGGGGTGCGCCTTTGGGTAACGAGCCCGAGAGGGGGAGTGACAGCGGGCATGCTTTCTCAGAAGGCGGCGGGGCTCACCAGAAGCCCTCGAGCGTTCTGAGAAGCCGTCTCTGTCTTCGGAGAAGGCCTCGAACACGTCAAGGAAGGCCAGAGGCCTCCCGAGTCTTCTGAGAAGGCCCGCCCCATCTGACTTCCCCCTGGGCTTGCCGCCGAGCCTTCTCCACCTCGTCGAAGAGAAGCAGCGAATACGGGCGCCGCCTCACGGCCTCCGTCACGGTGCCGCCGTCATTGTAGCCCACATAGCCCGGCGGCGCCCCGATGATTTTCGACACTGTGTGCTTCTCCATGAACTCGCTCATGTCCTTGGCGTCTTGCTGATCACATGGCACCCGATCACGTGATCCGATCGCAGCCTCTATCACGATGACTACCGCGCCGATCACGAATCGATCACGCATTCAAGCTCGGACGATCGCGTGACCGAGCCGAACCGATCACGTGGTCGGCGATCGCGTGATCGCCCGGTCACTGCGATCTGTGATCACCGATCGCGTGATCTGCAGACGCAATGCTCATGTCCAGGCGAATCATGGAGTCCGTCGAGCCAAAGAACGTCGACGCCAAGGTCTTGCACACGTGGGTCTTGCCAACGCCTGCCGGAGGCGAGCAGGGGGGCGCCAAGGCGAGGGGGAGCGCCCTCCGGGAAGGCAATGGGGAGGGGGGGCGATGTCAGGAACTCGTCGCTCGCCATTCGTCGTTCGTTAGTCGTCGTTCGTCGTCGTCGTTCGTCGTCGTTCGTCCTTCGTCGTCACTGTGCGTCGTCATCATTTGTCGTCTTCATCGTGCGTCGTCGTTCGTCGTTCGTGGTTCGTCATCCTTCTTCGTCGTCATCGTTCACCGTCGTCGTCGTCGTTCGTCGTCGTTCGCCGCTCGTCGTTCGTCGTCATCGTTCACCGTCGTCCGTCGTCGCTCGCCGTCGTCGTCGTTCTAAAGGGGGCGCAAGGCCGCCCCCCGCCCCCCGAGAGCCGTGCGCCGCGTGCGCTCGGCGAGGGCGCGAGGGCCCCCCCCCCAGGGCCCGCGGCGCCAGGGCACTGCTGACCGGGACTTGGAAAGTTGCACCCGGAGAGATCCGAGCATGCGTGTTCTCACGCGACGCAGATCCACCGAGCACCCCTCCCTCAAGCACTGTGCATCGCCACAGCGAAGCTGCTCCACAGCGCGAGGGGGAGGGAAGCGGGACGGCCGCCGAGCCGCGATGTCGACGAGCCAATGCGTCGCAAACGAGCCGCGGAATGGCGAGGAGGCGTGGAGAATGCTTCGACCCGTGGCTGCAGCTTTCTCGGGCGCCGCCAGTGTTCTGGTTATTCAAAGTGCCCTTCCGTTCAGGGGGCCCTGACTCAGACTCTGGAAGGCCACGTCCACACCAGACGTCGACGACGTCGTCGACAACGACCACGACCTTGACGTCCCACTTCCATCGCCCTTTGGCAGCTCTCACAACGGGGTGGCGCCAGGATGGAAAGAGCCTTCTAAGAAGCCCCCTGCCTTCTTACGAGGCCCCCGATCTCGCACTCCCTTTGTGCGCGCCGCCAAATTGCCCCGCCACGTCCTCCTCCTCCTCCTCCTCCTCCTCCTCCTCCTCCTTCTCCTCCTCCTCCTTCTCCTTCTCCTCGCACGTGGCCGCGCACCACGCGTCTGTCACTACAGCCGCTCTAGCGCCCACCTCGCAGCGGGAATTATGAAGCCGACTGTGTCGGCTGAGATTGGGCACTCAGGCTGGGCGCGCAGATGAGGGGACAAGATGGCAGCAGCAGCTGGGACACGCAGGGAAGAACGAGAGGGGAGACAGATGCCAAGACGACCGAGAGGAGAGGTGGACAAGAAGACATGGACATCGAGGTGAAGCATTTCCGCCAGGTGGCGGGTGAAATGCGGGCAGCACCAGTAATGAGCAAGGTCATCAAGCCCATTATGACAGCCGAGCATACACGGGGACAAATTCTTGAAAGCGCCTGTCAGTGGCCCACCCGCCCATCAAAACCTTCAGAACGGCCATAGAAAACGAAACGCTGAAACGCGAGAGCTCGGTCCGCAGGGCATCCCAGGGAAGGCCACGGGCCTCAGGAAGGGCGATCGGCATCCGCTCGGCCAGCCGAGAGGCAAACACCTCGGACAGACACGGCGGGTGAATAATCTCAGATACCTTGATCTTTAAACGACGTTGAACTTTGAATTTGCTGGGGTCAGTTGCCTCAGCGAGAGCTGAAGTGAGCGATTCCATATCATGACTGGTGGCGCGAGAGACGCACCGAAGAGAGCGAGCATTGGACGTCGCCAGATGAGAGCCGAGAGGACGAGGGAAGGCAGCGCCAGCAGCGGCAAGGAACTCACAGAACGAGGGAAGGAGCCAGAAGGAGGGCGACAGAGCATGATGGATAACCCGCAGGACGATGGGAAGTTGCTCTTCGGCAACCGCCGAGAGAGCAGGGAGCATCTCGCGCCGAGAGACAAGGTGAAGACGACTCGCTCGGACTAGGGCCGCGATGGAGGTCGCCTGGGTGCTCGCGATCCGAGGCCCGCCCCAAAGGGCGAGCTCAAACCACCCCGCGCGGGGGATCACACAGTTCGGGGTCCGGAAAAGACGCGCAAACACTGCTGGCTCTTGTCTGGCAACCTCCGCGGGCAGAGGCACACATTGTGAGACATAGCTTAACACCAAGGCCACTCTGCCTTCATAGTTCTGAGCCGTGACAGAGAACGGCGCGCCCTGGGAAGCTGATCTCGAGCCGCGGTCCAGCTGCTTGGCGGCGGGGGCTCTCCAGGAGTGGAGAAGCGCAGCAGGTCCTAACCAGGGGCCGAAGTATTTCAGCACTGGAACTATCTCAAAGCTAGCCCAGGAGGTCAGATGCCTGGAGAGCCATCCCACATATCTACGGGCGGGGATCGGCGTGAAGGCCGCGGCCAGCGGCGCGATCTTGCACTTCGACGTCTTCAGCGCCAGGGCCGAGGTCCGCTCGATGGTCGCGAACGCGCGGTGCAGGATACGAAGGCGTACCAGACGACAAAGAGATGCACCCACGCCATCAGCGCAAGCACGGGCGAGGCCAGCAGCATGACGGGCGAGCGCGGCGCCCATGTCTGTGAAGAAGCAATCTGCGGCTAGGGCAAAGAGCGTGCCCGAGGCAGGGCAGCCTTGGATGATCCCGCAGTCCTGGAAGAACTTGAAGAGGGCGACCGCCATGAACGCTCCGTAGCACAGCACGTCCGCGTAGATGGCGTGGACCAGGAGCCGAAGAGGTTCTGGAACCTTCATGGAACCCAGCACACGGCGAAGCCATCGGTGGCTGAGGCCGGGGCATACCTGGCCAAAGTCAAAGCTGATCAGGGCAGGGACGTCAATCAGAGCCGACGGCGACATAGAGTGAATACGGGAGATGGCGTCAAGTTCGCCAATGTTGTTGCCGAAGTTCCTGGTGCGGATAAACCCGCGCTGTATTTTGGCCAAGAAAGAGGACATGATCTTGTTTAACTGCAAGAACGAAACCGCGACAACGATCTTGTCGCCGGTGGTTTTGAGGCCTAACGGACGGAGAGCACTAGCCGAGCGGACACATTGATTCTGAGCGCCCTCCCCCTCCTCACCTTTGGGGATAAAAACCATGAGAACCGAGTTGAAGCTCCTATTCACGGGGCGCCCGTTGAGGATACACGAGAGGGTCTCGAAGAGCACGTCGCATGCAACAGGGCACTGCATGTAGGCACTGTAGTAAATCGAATCAGGACCAGGGGCCGAGTCCTCGAGGTGTCTGATGTATTTCCCATGTCGTGATATCGAGGGGGGGGGAGGTCCCGAAGATCAAAACGGGCACACCACCGATCCAAATACCGTTGCCCCGCTTCGTCATCCACTGGCTTCTTCTGGAATACCTGTCCCCAGTGCGTGGCAATCGCATTTTGCATCTCGAATTGGTCAGTGATGACACGGTTGCCTGAGCGAACCCCAATCAACTGCAGGCGGCGGTCAAAAGGGGCCCAAAGCCGGCTGCGCCTGACCAGACGTCTGAGGCGCTGGCGTAGCTTGGAACGCTTGGACTCCGATTTCGCGGCAGAGAGCTGGCCCGTGACCGTGCGCTGCTCACGCATGGCGCCCTGAAACTGCGGGGCGCCCAGCACGTCTGGGAACTTCTGAGGGTCCGCCAGGGGGGCCGGGGAGGATTCGGGGTCCACGTTGAGGAGCTCTTGGGCCAGGGGGTACATCATCGGCGTTCGGGCAAGGGTAACATCATTCCCCCAAACACATCGGCTAATGGATCTCATGGGTAAGAGTTCCGCGGCAGGGTCTCGGGGGGCATCTCGGAGAGGGGCATTGCGAGCCTGTCGGGCACCTCCCCTCAAAACCCCCTTGTATAAAAAAAATCCGGGGCGGGCTGAGGGCCGAGACGTCACTCTCCTCCCAGGTCTGCTGGACAAGCTGCTTAAACAGCGGGGGCTGAAAAAAAACTGCTTGGCGATGGGGCGGGCACACACGTCGGGTGACTCGCGATGACGGAGGTGAACGAGCAAGGCGGCGTGGTCTGATATTCCTATTCGTTCAAGTGTTTCAAGATATTCGCAAACGTTAACGTCAACCTGGAGACAAGCCAGATAATGTCCTGGAAGGCTGGTAACTATTCTGCCTATCTTCGACGTGTGTTGTTGAGCGCCGTTGTAGTGAGTAGGTTCAGAACAATCGATTTCCACCAATGCTGCAAACACCTCCTGCCAAGCAGAGGCCCTCTGTCGCCGCCACTCGCGAAGGGCAGCGCGAGGCTCAAGGCGGGCTGGCGGCGCGCTCTGCTGCGGCGGCTCCGCGCAGAGATTAAAGTCATCAGCAAGCACAAGGACATGCCGATCGGGGCTTTGACGATCGAAGACGAGCTCTTGTTTGATCCGATCGATAACTCTCCTGATCATATCGCTGTCCAAACCACGATTGTCAACGTTAAAGTGAGAGAAGATGAAGCGGGGGGAACCACGTTCAGAAGATATCGGCCCAATATCCAATCGGCAGTGCAAGACTCTCCCTGAGACCACTGTCTCGGACTCGCACTGGGCCAGCTCATGGAATCCATTCTCTACTGTCAGGACAGGGGAGATCGTCGCCACTCCACCTCGCCCACGCGAGTCAATAAAAGAGGCCTGCCCACTGAAACGGCGCCGAGAGAAATAGAGGAAGTCGGAGAGGTCGTGGATGCCACCACGAGCCCCCTGCAACGCAATGATGGAGTTGGGTCTGAGAAGGGGCGCGAGGTAGGAGAGATTGGGCGAGCGGGCGTGGGGATCGCGATGAAAGAGAGCACGAGCATTCCAGGCGCGTAGCGCCAGACACCTGGCCTCGAGCGGCGCCCCTCCGAGGACGAGGAACAGGTGGCTAAAGGCTCCGAGCGCCGCTTGTCTGCAGCGCTGGCAGAGGCGCCCCGCAGAGCGGGCTCGATTCTACCCTCGTCGAGGTTGGGCGCGCGGATGTTGGCGCTCTCGCACTCCAGGGTCGGCATGGAGTTGTCCGTCTTGGGCGAGATCTCGACCAGCGGCTTCCACGCTGCGAGGGCGCCGCACCGGCGTGGCGGCCCACGAAGAAGCGCACGTTCGGGCACAGCTCCAGCAACGTTTTGCG